TATGTCTACAATGTCAACTACTTCTATGTCTACATTGTCAACTACTTCTATGTGTACAATGTCAACTTCTTCTACGTCTACAATGTGAACTACTTCTATGTCTACATTGTCAACTACTTCTATGTCTACAATGTTAACTACTTCTATGTCTACATTGTCAACTACTTCTATGTCTAAATTGTCAACTACTTCTATGTATACATTGTCAACTACTTCTATGTCTACAATGTTAACTACTTCTATATCTACATTGTCAACTACTTCTATGTCTACAATGTCAACTACTTCTATGTCTACAATGTTAACTACTTCTATGTATACATTGTCAACTACTTATATGTCTACAATGTTAACTACTTCTATGTCTACATTGTCAACTACTTCTATGTCTACAATGTCAACTACTTCTATGTCTACAATGTCAACTACTTCTATGTCTACAATGTCAACTACTTCTACATCTACATTGTTAACTACTTCTCTGTCTACAATGTTAACTACTTCTATGTCTACATTGTCAACTACTTCTATATCTACATTGTTAACTACTTCTATGTCTACAATGTCAACTACTTCTATGTCTACATTGTTAACTACTTCTATGTCTACATTGTCAACTACTTCTATGTCTACATTGTCAACTACTTCTATGTCTACATTGTCAACTACTTCTATGTCTACAATGTCAACTACTTCTATGTCTACAATGTCAACTACTTCTATGTCTACATTGTTAACTACTTCTATGTCTACAATGTCAACTACTTCTATGTCTACAATGTCATCTACTTCTATGTCTACAATGTCAACTACTTATATGTCTACAATGTCAACTACTTCTATGTCTACAATGTCAACTACTTCTATGTCTACAATGTCAACTACTTCTATGTCTACAATGTCAACTACTTCTATGTCTACAATGTCAACTACTTCTATGTCTACAATGTCAACTACTTCTATGTCTACAATGTGAACTACTTCTATGTCTACATTGTCAACTACTTCTATATCTACATTGTTAACTACTTCTATGTCTACAATGTTAACTACTTCTATGTCTACATTGTCAACTACTTCTATGTCTACATTGTCAACTACTTCTATGTCTACAATGTCAACTACTTCTATGTCTACAATGTCAACTACTTCTATGTCTACAATATCAACTACTTCTATGTCTACAATGTCAACTACTTCTACATCTACATTGTTAACTACTTCTCTGTCTACAATGTTAACTACTTCTATGTCTACATTGTCAACTACTTCTATATCTACATTGTTAACTACTTCTATGTCTACAATGTCAACTACTTCTATGTCTACATTGTTAACTACTTCTATGTCTACATTGTCAACTACTTCTATGTCTACATTGTCAACTACTTCTATGTCTACATTGTCAACTACTTCTATGTCTACAATGTCAACTACTTCTATGTCTACAATGTCAACTACTTCTATGTCTACATTGTTAACTACTTCTATGTCTACAATGTCAACTACTTCTATGTCTACAATGTCATCTACTTCTATGTCTACAATGTCTACTACTTATATGTCTACAATGTCAACTACTTCTATGTCTACAATGTCAACTACTTCTATGTCTACAATGTCAACTACTTCTATGTCTACAATGTCAACTACTTCTATGTCTACAATGTCAACTACTTCTATGTCTACAATGTCAACTACTTCTATGTCTACAATGTTAACTACTTCTATGTCTACATTGTCAACTACTTCTATATCTACATTGTTAACTACTTCTATGTCTACAATGTTAACTACTTCTATGTCTACATTGTCAACTACTTCTATGTCTACATTGTCAACTACTTCTATGTCTACAATGTCAACTACTTCTATGTCTACAATGTCAACTACTTCTATGTCTACAATATCAACTACTTTTATGTCTACAATGTTAACTACTTCTATGTCTACATTGTCCACTACTTCTATGTCTACAATGTCAACTACTTCTATGTCTACATTGTCAACTACTTCTATGTCTACATTGTTAACTACTTCTATGTCTACATTGTCCACTACTTCTATGTCTACAATGTTAACTACTTCTATGTCTACAATGTCACCTACTTCTATGTCTACATTGTCCACTACTTCTATGTCTACAATGTCAAATTCTTCTATGTCTACAATGTCAACTACTTCTATGTCTACATTGTTAACTACTTCTATGTCTACATTGTCAACTACTTCTATGTCTACAATGTCAACTACTTCTATGTCTACATTGTCAACTACTTCTATGTCTACATTGTCAACTACTTCTATGTCTACATTGTTAACTACTTCTATGTCTACAATGTCAACTACTACTATGTCTACAATGTCAACTACTTCTATGTCTACAATGTCAACTACTTCTATGTCTACAATGTCAACTGGCATCTTGCCACCGTGGCGACTTTTGTTCCAGCAACCACCATGTTTGAAAGGTTTTATCTATCAGTGGATTGACAACGGGCTCTAAATTATTATTATTTTACCCTTTGAAAATCCATTGATATGCGTGATGTACATTGCAATACAGACTCTAATGGGTTAATTGCACAGGGACGGTTATTAATTAAACATTTTATCTTTATGGCCAATTTGTCACATTTCAATGTTGAGATATGACATCAGCACACAATGGCAGACTCTTGCTAGTGATAAATGCTGCGTGTGCAATTTACTGCATACACAGAATTTAGTGCGTGCATTAATGCGTGCGCTTCACAAAGTGCTTACATCACTGTAAGAAGTGGGAACATTGACGGGCACTTACTCGTGTTTTTCTGCTTGCCGACAGAGACCCATGCCATCTACTTATTGAATCCTTTATTAGAGGGCAGCTTTACGGTTCAAGTTTCCTCCACCCTGCCCAATCTCGTGCATTCCCCTTGATTGTCATTCACCTTTCGTTCGAGTCAACGAGCAGGGCCCTCATTGTTTTACCTCTTGACTTTGTTCCCTGCATCCATCTGCAATCAAAGCCCTCTGCCTGGACACGTGCCAGATTCAGAACCTTTGTCTTCTTCTGAATTGTTCTAAAGAGGCTTCACTCCTCCGAAACCTGCTGGAGCACTTCCTTGTCACTCTTTCTCTCCGTCCAACTGATTCTCTCCACGTTATTCCGTGCCCATGGTTCAAAACTTTCAAAACAGCTCACGACCCGCGTGATGGGAGGCCCAACCCCAAAGAGGCTTGAGGTAAATCTGCATGCGATGTCGAGTTCATTAATCGGGTTAAGCTTGACGAGGTCAAGCGTGACCGGGAGATTGAGGTCAAAGCCTAAAGCAGCTTCAGATCACTTCTGTCGTCCACTTTCGTAAAGGACCGGAGTTTGGAATAATAACGTCTGGTACCAGCTCACAAATGAACCATAATACGTTGCTGGTCTCGTCAAGCAACATAAACCACCATCACGTGAACTCCGCTCATCCTCGCAGCAGCAGCAGCAGCGGCGGCTTTGGGCTGGCCATTGAACAAAGATGGTCACTGCATCATGCGCTTTCAGATGCGCTTCTGCGGCCGTCTGGGACACTTTTCCCCGACCTTCCCCTACACTTCCGATTAGCACGGTTGGCTATGTACGGTGTGAAAGAAGTTCAACATACATATTTAACACATAATTACAGTTCTCCGATGGTTTATTTTGGGTTGTACCGCACTTTGTTCGGCATGAAGCCAGGACGCTGACGAACAACACACGGTACAATCCGAAAAGCCATCGGAGCGTCGTACAGCAGAACCCACAAAACCCCACGCAGTAGGAGCTTCATCACAGCGTGGGGGCAGGTGGCACTGTAGTGAGAATACATGTCCTTCAAATATAAATGTGTTGAATTCACATACCAGCCAGGTATTGATTCACCCCTTAAATCCCTCCACGGTTAATAGAGACGTGTTCAACATTTGTGGGAAAGCCAGTAGTGGTTGCCTTATGGATAGACTTGCCCCAGTCATAAGAATGTGGAATTCCCACCACTGGGCCAAGACTGTAAGCAGGAGGTGAGCGCTGCTGCAGGCTAATTTAAGTGGGAATTAACTTTGACATTTGACGAATGCACAACTGTATATGCACACAAGCGAATCCTTGTGTTGCACATGCGTCACTTTCCCAATTTTTTTTTTGTTATTTTCCCTCATATAGATCCATTTCGTTTATTTTGAAGAGACTGTGATACTTAACACGATCATGGATGTGACAAGTTGCGAAATAGGAACCCCTTTAAGTTAACACTCAGAAACAATTATGGACAACACTCACAAGGACCCTCTTATAATTTGCTTTGGTCAATGACATCCCTCCAATTAACACCTCAGTGGGGTTTCGTATTAACACTCAGTGGGGGTCCTGGAATTGATGGCTACAGCTACAGCTTTAGTAAGGCCACACAAAAAAACTATGCGATAGCAGCTAAAGGAAAACATTACAACCACCGGGTTAAGGAGGCGTGCCTCGTGGTTGCAAGTGTGCGTTCATGTATGTGAAGTAAAGAATGTGAGCTGTATCGTGCGTGCGTTGTTTGGCTTGGATATTGAGTAAAATTAAGTCACATCGGCTTCACTGCAAATTAATACATTTGGTTAAAATCGCATAGCAACATCGCCCCTACTGGCAGACTGTACTCGTCTGTGAAACATGTCGTCTCCTTATAGCAATGCATGAATGCCACGTACAAAATGTATTATGTTCGAAATAACTTCGTGTTATTTAATGACAGCTCGGACAGCGGTAGCTTGAGCTCTGGTAACCATGCATGACGGAATTTGTGATGTAATTTTCACAGTATATTCTTTAAAACGCCCAAATACAGTTTTTCATAGCTTCTTCAATAATACCCAATGCAGAGTCACTTGGCAGGGATTTAATTAAGTCGAGTGGAGGGCCCTTCCAGCAGCAGAGGTGTCCCCAAGGCGTCGCACCGTTGCAGCGTCTTGCACATTTGGGGCTCCCGTTTGTGCCTCCTGTGGAGCAGGTCCCAGGACGCTTCTTGGAGGTGGCGGAGCTGACGCTGCGCGAGTTCTTCTGTGCCGTCGCGGCTGCCAAGGACGTCGACCCCTCGTGGAAGAAGGCCATCTACAAGGTCATCTGCAAGCTGGACAGCGAGGTGCCCGAGTCCTTCCGCTCTCCCAGCTGCCTGTGGGAGATTACGCACCTCTAGACGCCGCTGACGACACGTCCGATGGGGCAGCGGCGCAACGCCCCCGCGCTCCTTCTCCACCCATCCTGGGGGACCTTATTCCATAACCCGGCTGAAGAGTCACAAGTATTTCTCATCGGTGGCTTTCGACGATCTTCCTTTGAAAGCCATGGCGAGCGCATCCTTGAAGCGTCGCGACCGCGTCACTACTGAGTCGTGAAGCTAATTTGTGCCTTGTGTCCGGGTGGGGAAAATGAGGGGCCCAGTAAGTTCCCGCGCTTAAACGCTGCAACAATTCCACATCACCTCCCTCGGGTGTTTTTGCGCCTCTCCTCTGCCAGACTGTTAAGTAATTCTCGGTTGCCGTGCAAGCATCACACTTTCATGTTCATAACATCGGCTCCATGCCAGGACCGCTGTCCATGAATATGCTGCACATCGACGAACAGGTCACGCTTGAAGCTGGTGCATGCCAAGGCAACGTCACTACAAACTACTTCTGTATAAGGGAGTCACAACATTTATTGTCCGTAAACACTGTCAATACATTATCTCTGCTGCACTGAGTGCTGTTTATGTTTTTGTTTTAACGACCCATGCAAGTCACAGTTGCAGAAAAAGTGAACTATTTCAACGTTCGTGCTCGATGTTATGAAAGGCTTAAAATATAATGTTCACTTTTTCGTTCTTTCGGTAAAGTCAAAGCTTTGAATCTAATATAATGCTCACTTAACGTGCTCAATACAAGTCTTACATTAATTAAACAAATACCCGTTTTACTCAAATGTAAGACTGGTTGCTTGACCTGATGGGCTATTGGGGCGCGGCCATTTTGTCTTTCTGCAACTTCATTTCAATGGACACCGAGTAAATACTACATGCCATGGACTCCCTTATCATCAATTTGGTAAACATGAGCTATATATATTTTACAATAATTAATATACATAATTTCATAATTAGCATGTGACTGTTATGGGTCTAGTAAAGTCATGAGATGTTCCTCACTGGGTTGATATGTTTGCCGTCTGTATGTGCATTGTAGTAGCTAGTGCACCTGTAATTTAAACATTATATATCACTGTGCAACTCGTTTATTAAAGCTATGGTTTACTTTCTGCATGTATGGTAGTTATAGCACAACTTTCCAACTGCTTCAAACCCATATCTCTCGTTAAATCACACGTTTGTACTTGGACTTAAACATTTGCCCCACACTTCCTGAGTGCAGATTCAATGTAACTTCACTGTGCTGCATGGTGATTTTTTCTACGATCTTTCCCATGCCCCCCCCACGACTTTAAAAATTAATCTGGCCGTGGAACAAAGTGTGACCCAATTTAAATAAATTGATTGAGAGGGGGAGGGGGCACGACAGCCAATGATACACAGACTCTAAACTCGCTGAACGCAAAGCAGAACGGAATAACGTCACGATGTGATTGTTTTCATCACGGATGCTGCTCGATCTATCTGCCACTGTGTTGAAGAGGAAAGGCTGCAGTGCCGTTCACTTTAATTGTACTCGAGTCTGCATATTGTCCACCCCCTACCAATAAACATATTTTACTTGACTATCAGGATTTATACATGGGGGGATATGAGGGTGGGGGGGTCAGCCCCCCACATCTCACCCCAACATTACAGGACTGCACTAGCGACAGACCATGGTGCATGAAGACGCACGTCTGATTATAACTGAGGAAGAAAATAGCAAAACAATACTCTCTGTACTGGGTGGGTGTGACAACTAAATATACAAACTTAATTATGTCATTATTCACGCAAATATCTTCATAGAAGTGAATGCTCAAACTGACAACAAAACCAATTCAGGTAAAAATGTGATCTACCGTTTTTTGAATAAGTGAGCGTTCAACTGTATTCAGCAGAGCATGGCAATGCCGTTTAATTGAACCTTCGGAAAGCTGCTGGGCCACGTGTTCAAAATGAGCAGGGTCACGGTTTCTCTCGCTGCCTCTCTTGAAGATGAAACACTTTCCCTGGCGTGCAGTATGAACATTTCTCATTCCTGCTCTGGGTACGCGTTGGGGTGATGCCACACCCAAACACATTGCCTTTAAATGTCTTTATGTTCTTGGTTCTTTCGGTAAAGTCACGTAGACTGAGAATAAAACAATAACACAAAATAAGAACAATAAAATTCTCACGACGTTTCGGCCACAACACAAGTAGCCTTCTTCTTGCAGTCACGAAAACTTTCAATCGTGTCTTTATGTTATTTAAAAAATATGTATTATTGAACAAATAAAATACAAATTACTAATTTAAGTCATTTTCTTAATCTGTTGACCATTTCAAATTTGATTTTAAAAATACTTGGAACGTGGGGCGTTAAATTTGCCCGCCCCAATCAGATGCACATTTTGGCATTCACTGGCCGACTCTGAACCACTCCCAAGGCTTGAAAAGCATGAAGTGAGAGAGCAATAACAAGAGGCTGGGATGCTCCTGAACTTGCCCCCAACCCACCTGGCCACCACCCAACCAAACTTTTATGACTCACCAGTCGCTCCTGGTTAAATACATTTCTCTATAACCAAGCTAATCCAATTCACGTCTAATTGACGAATGATGCAAATGTTATGAATTAATCACGACTTGTTCAACAATGCCCTGTGCACCTGCTATCTAAGGACGTTTAATATATACACCCATGTTCACCTGTATGTTTTATTGAAAGGGGTTCATGATGTGTGTGTGTGTGTGCTAATATTGTATATTTTACATACACCACTAAATATATGATAGTGTACATTACTGAAGTGTTTGTGGTCGGGAGACTGGATTCAGAGAAGGTAAAACGGCAATCTAAATATTGTTTATGGATAGTGGGGACACTTCCACCAGTGTCCCCACTGCCACCAGTGGGACACTGCCTCCAGTGGGACACTGCCTCCACTGGGACACTGCCGCCAGTGGGATACTGGCGGCAGTGTCCCACTGCCTCCAGTGGGACACTGCCATCACTGGGATACTGGCGGCAGTGGGACACGGCGCCCCAATCTTGAAGCTGTCCTTGTTTCGTTGCTCCACGTATTGATTTGGGTCCCTCGTACAGGGTGATCCAAATGTCATGTGACCCCACAATTAATTGACCTCGAACTTGTCTTTTTTTATTCGCGCATTAATTTTAGTTTTGAGTAAACGTCACTTTAAAAAGAGGTGAGTTTAAGAGAATCAAATGGGGGTCACTAGACATCTTGACCAACGTCTGCATGGACAGCGACCAAGAGGTGTATCGAACAATCCATCGATTCAGTCCCACATGCTCCATGGGTTTGTTTTGCTATTACATCATGATATGAAATACAATTGATCTGTGGTCAAGTCCTACTTCTGTCGGTGCAATATTCATTAAATTGTCTAAAAAAAGAATCAATATTTTATGCCGCACAGAACATAATTTTACACTGAAATGTTGGAAGAGTAACTTATCTTTTTTCCTGTTAAAATGTATCGCAAACATAAAAAAAGTTGTGATTATAAAATTATTAGAATCTTGTGGATTTTTTTGTGGTTATGGAAATTTTGTTTGTCTAACTTCTGTATGGATGTCGAACTTCTTTCGCACCGTACGTAGCCAACTGTGCTAATTAGAGGTGCGGGGGAAGGACAATAAACTAAACACAAAAAGAAGTTCTAAATAAATGTTTTCAATTTACATTTAAAAGTGCATAGCTCCAGTGGCTTCCAAATAATATAAAGGTAGAGTATTTGGTGCTGACAAGTTACAATTATTTGCTAATGTTAATCCATTGATTTAAACGATCAGCATATTGAGTTCTCCGATGTGGGGTTTTTACTTGGCTAAAGATGCTCCCAGCACGTGGAGCGAAATGTCGGAAATCACCCCAAACAACGCTCGGCACAACCTGAAAACAGATTGGTGAGCTGTCCACCACAATCACATCGGTGAGCTGTACACCACAATCACATTGGTGAGCTGTACACCACAATCACATTGGTGAGCTGTCCACCACAATCACATTGGTGAGCTGTCCACCACAATCACATTGGTGAGCTGTCCACCACAATCACATTGGTGAGCTGTCCACCACAATCACATTGGTGAGCTGTCCACCAGAATCACAGCGGTGAGCTATACACCACAATCACAGCGGTGAGCTGTACACCACAACCACATTGGTGAGCTGTACACCACAATCACATTGGTGAGCTATACACCACAATCACATCGGTGAGCTGTCGACCACAATCACATTGGTGAGCTATACACCACAATCACATTGGTGAGCTGTCCACCACAATCACATCGGTGAGCTATACACCACAATCACATCGGTGAGCTGTCCACCACAATCACATTAGTGAGCTGTACGCCGCAATCACATTGGTGAGATTTCGATTTAAAGCTTTCGTGACTGCAAGGATTCATCTTCTTTGGTTCTTTCGGTAAAGTCACGTAGAATAAGAATAAAATAATAAATTGATAAAATAAAATAACACAATAATATTCTCACGACGTTACGGCCACAACACAAGCGGCCTTCATCAGGTGAAGGGGACGAGACTGTCTGGAGGACAGCGCTGGAGTGAGAAAGCCACGCTGAGATCACGACCTTTAAGCTGTGTGAGAAGAAACAAAGCGCCTTGACAAAGGAATTAGCATATAATTTAGCATTGAAATGGCTGAGTGATTAGCTTGTGACTGGTCACAGAAAAGGCTATGTTAAAGTTAAAGCATACACATCTGCAAAGGCACCCCTTGACAAAGGAATTAGCATAGAATTTAGCATTGAAATAGCTAAGTTAAAGTATACACATCCGCAGAGGCACTCCTTGGATGTGTATACTTTAACTTAGCTATTTCAATGCTAAATTCTATGCTAATTCCTTTGTCAAGGCGCTTTGTTTCTTCTCAAACAGCTTGAAGGTCGTGATCTCAGCGTGGCTTTCTCACTCCAGCGCTGTCCTCCAGACAGTCTCGTCCCCTTCACCTGATGAAGACCGCTTGTGTTGTGGCCGAAACGTCGTGAGAATATTATTGTGTTATTTTATTCTATCAATTTATTATTTTATTCTCATTCTACGTGACTTTACCGAAAGAACCAAAGAAGAACATATTGGTGAGCTATACACCACAATCACATTGGTGAGCTATACACCACAACACACACAAATGTGCGCAACACTGTTCATAATCGAATTAATGCTCAAACTGTGTCAGCATTTGATTGGACGTGTTCATTCTTGGATTCCAATATACTTCAACAAAAATCCCTACAAAGCCCGAAATGGATTTTGTCTTGATATTATTAAAGGGGTAGCTTTCAGTTCAAGAGTGTCGTGGATTGAAATCGGAACAATATTTCAGTTTGCCGTTTACGTGTCCACATGAGCAGAACTGAATGCCGCTCACATGTTTCTGAAACGTTATTCCCATAGCAAGACAAACAGCTTGAATCACAAAGAAACCCTGACAGTTAAATGTACAATGTAGAACCGTAACGTTGTAAAGTTTTGTAACGACTTATTGTATCAAATCTTGTGTATTTTTAAATTCTACATATTTACAAAAAATGTGCTTTGTTTGCAATGGAAGCAGTATTTAAGTGTCAATGTATGTATGCATATTTAATGCTTATTAAGTGTGCTACACAATGTAAAAGCATTTTGTATTGATAAACAGCAATATAATCGCTATCGTATGTGCTTATGCTCTATGTGCTTTGATTTTCAATCGATGAACTCCGTAATGTTTTCTATGATCAGTACACTCATATAAACGGTTTAAAAAATAATAATATTTCCAACCAAGCATGTGACTTCACGCACACACTGTGTACCAGCACGTCGTTTCAGCCGGAGCTGTCCAGGCCTGAGAAGCAAAACAACATTGCCTGCACCTGGCACTCCTCCTCCTCCTCCCGTGCGGCTGCTGATGTCGATGCAGATCAACAACGACAACTTCACATTCGGGTGGTCGAGCCGGATAGCGGCGTCAGGAGCAGGAGCGGAGTGCTGCTCATCACATGCCACCTCACGCTCTAGCATCGTCCGAGAAAGTATTCAGTCGCCAATGAGCTGCCCCACACTGGAAATAGTTGCAGAATGAACAACGTACAAAAGTGTGCATTGCATGCATACAAGCTCTCTGAACCTTATCCAGACCATTAGTCGTTCGACAAATGTGGCTAACAGGCAGCAGTGAAACAAAGACGCAACTGATGTTGTCCTCAATGGGAGTCTAGTCATCAATGTTTGTTGTTGGGATGGCCACGTTTTCTCCACAAGTTCAGTTGGTGGTCTATGACAAAACGGTCACACATTCAGTCCCAATGAGCTGGCGGTCTGGATAGGTGCTCGTCCCCATCAAATAAACCGGAGGCAAACAAAAAGGGAATAAACGCATTTAGCTTGGGCATGGGAAAATGTTCTCGGGGAAGATTTCGAAGACTCAACGAAGCACTGAGCCCTCGAGGCAAATTACACAAAAAACACAGCTTTCAAACATTACACAAATATGAATCCGTTTTTATTCTACGTTGTCATACAATAGAGGCGAAATGTTGGCATACAAGCGTGCATCAAAACACAAGCCAATCTGCGCCTTTGACAATTATCTAAAGAAGCCCAAGTTTAATTGGAACCGGAGCCCCACATCCGCCTCTACAACGTCTTGTGCATTATCGCCGTGTTGCTGAGAGACGTGGGCCAATAACAGGCGCTGTGCAGGAACCTAGGTGCATTCTATACAGCCAGATAATGCGACATTGCTAACCTTAAACACTCAGGCAGTATAGTACTGTAGGAATAGAGCAAGTGCAGAATCACTGAACCGGAGTTGATAGCTTATGCTACTTTTGCTACGAGTACAATCCGGCACTGCTTCTGCCGATGGATGCTCCCGATCCACGTGGGCGGACAGGTCACCAACGAGGTCACCAACGAGGCCACCAACGAGGTCACCGAGGCCACCAACGAGGTCACCAACGAGGCCACCAACGAGGTCACCAACGAGGCCACCAACGAGGTCACCAACGAGGCCACCAACGAGGTCACCACCGAGGCCACCAACGAGGTCACAAACGAGGTCACCAACGAGGCCACCAACGAGGTCACCAACGAGGTCACCAATGAGGCCACCAACGAGGTCACCAACAAGGTCACCAACGAGACCACCAACGAGGTCACCAACGACGTCACCAATGAGGCCACCAACGAGGCCACCAACGAGGTCACCAACGACGTCACCAACGAGGCCACCAACGAGGTCACCAACGAGGTCACCAACGAGGCCACCAACGAGGTCACCAACGACGTCACCAACGAGGCCACCAACGAGGTCACCAACGAGGCCACCAACGAGGTCACCAACGAGGCCACCAACGAGGTCACCAACGAGGTCACCAACGAGGTCACCAACGAGGCCACCAACGAGGTCACCAACGACGTCACCAACGAGGCCACCAACGAGGTCACCAACGAGGCCACCAACGAGGTCACCAACGAGGCCACCAACGAGGTCACCAACGAGGCCACCAACGAGGCCACCAACGAGGCCACCAACGACGTCACCAACGAGGCCACCAACGAGGTCACCAACGAGGTCACCAACGAGGCCACCAACGAGGTCACCAACGACGTCACCAACGAGGCCACCAACGAGGTCACCAACGAGGCCACCAACGAGGTCACCAACGAGGCCACCAACGAGGTCACCAACGAGGCCACCAACGAGGTCACCAACGAGGCCACCAACGAGGTCACCAACGAGGTCACCAACGAGGTCACCAACGAGGTCACCAACGAGGCCACCAACGAGGTCACCAACGAGGCCACCAACGAGGTCACCAACGAGGCCACCAACGAGGTCACCAACGAGGTCACCAACGAGGTCACCAACGAGGCCACCAACGAGGTCACCAACGAGGTCACCAACGAGGTCACCAACGAGGCCACCAACGAGGCCACCAACGAGGCCACCAACGAGGTCACCAACGAGGTCACCAACGAGGCCACCAACGAGGTCACCAACGAGGCCACCAACGAGGTCACCAACGAGGTCACCAACGAGGCCACCAACGAGGTCACCAACGAGGTCACCAACGAGGTCACCAACGAGGCCACCAACGAGGCCACCAACGAGGCCACCAACGAGGTCACCAACGAGGTCACCAACGAGGCCACCAACGAGGTCACCAACGAGGCCACCAACGAGGTCACCAACGAGGTCACCAACGAGGCCACCAACGAGGTCACCAACGAGGTCACCAACGAGGTCACCAACGAGGCCACCAACGAGGCCACCAACGAGGCCTCCTCGGTCGGCAGTCGAACAGCGCCTCGAGCGGTGGCTGGCGGCGCAGGAGGCGGAGCCTTTGGCGCGCTTCACCCGGGCGCAGAGCCCTGCGCACCAAAGACAAAGATCCCCCCTGTAGTCGTAACTGATTGTAGGGGCAAGTGCTGTCAGCGAGCACCTATGAAGGCCGGCACGGCACATGAGGGGGTGGGTGGCCAACACCAC